CCTCCCACGAGCTAGATACCACCACCTGCTTAACCATACCTATAAATATCCACCAACAGTAATCACAATTCACACAACATTCAGCCTTGATAATGGATGCAGAATGCATTAGAAACGCGTCGGCCAACTTATCACTAGCTACAACTTTTACCCGTTGTTCTAACAACGTTAAGACGGCTTATCGACTTCTTGAGAAGAATTCTAAGAAGAAAGTAAACCTACAGACATCGGACTTGTTTAACAAAATTAATATATATACACATAAATAACTGTATTCTTTGACAGATTGTTTCGGCAGAGTATTCATGATTAAACTACGTTTAATGGATGGCAACTGCCTGTTGTAGAAACACAAGTGCAGAGGACGATGTTTTAAAAGTCTTCCACCTTTCGTCTTCAGATCAGTGTGTGTATATGGTGTTGTTGCATAGCCAAGAAATTCAACATAGACATCTGGTGGAAATCTTAGAAGACATTAAGATCCATTCTGGTGAAAAACAAACAGAAACCTACTAATGAGAAACACAAAAACATCATTTATGAAATTCTATGTTTCTGCAACAAAACATAAATTGGAGAAACAGGAAGAAGACTCGTGACAAGAATAAAATTACATACAGACAGTACACAAGACTCATGAAAACACAAAATTTAGCCATTGTAGATCACACCATGTCAACTGGACAAAAAATAAACTGAGAAAAAAATTTTGAAGACAACAAAAAATTAAAGATTTATTTCATATTAACACAATTAAACCTTCACTAAACAGAGATTCTTATTAGATATGAGTCGCCTGCGGTTACCATTGGTTGAATCTACAGAAAGTCTCTCCACCAATCAGAAACATGGATAAACTAACCAATCATAACACACTCTCCACAATCAACCAGAATACTATAAAGATTGACAACATCATACACACTGACCTGAAGACGAAAGGTGGAAGACTTTCAAAACGTTGTCTTCTACACTTGTGTTTTTAAAACTGGCAGTTGCCGTACATTCAACTTAGTTTCATCAAAGAACTGTATACTATATTATGATGTTGAATTTTACCTTCTGTGTCCACAACAACCCCACCAGCTTCCTGTACAATTAAAAGTCCAGCTGCCATGTCCCAGCAGTGAATCCCAAATTCATAATAAGCCTCAGCTTCTCCAGCAGCTACAGCACACATGTTCAAAGCTGCAGAACCCATGGAGCGCATACTATGTGAGGGGAAATTAACAGATTCACTATAAAATGTGACAGAGTTGTTTACTATAGTGAATACATACCATTATTGTAACCATACAAAAATATTTCTTTCAACAAGTTAAAAGATTAAAATAAAAACATCTATTGTTTAATACGTATATTTGAGGATTACCTCCCAAAATTCTTTAATATTACATAAATATAAACCAAACAAAGATACACTAATTAAACTTAAAACTCTCATTTACAATGAATAAGGTCAAGTACCTAACAGATAAAATTTCCAAGTTGTTATTTTTGATAGTTTGTTGCCTGATGCAGCCGTTGCAAAACAGGAGAACCATTTATGTACTACCTGAAAGTGGCTAAGGATGAGAAAAAGTTTCTAAACTTAGATTATTCTTTCACAAACCACAACAACCGAATAAAGCGTAAAAATCATAAAACTATACAATAAGATATACTAACAATACCCACAGGGGATGGGGAGTGGGGTGAGTTGAATTGAAGCACATGCCTTCTTCCTCGTATGTCCTGAAAGTGTCCTTTTTCTCAGTCATAAAAATTTGTCCACAATTAAAATATACATGCCTAATTCCACATCTTACTTGAGGGAAAAAAAAACATTTCAGCTTTAAAATGACTTGTAGGTCTTTACAATAAAAAAATAATTGTGTTATGAAAGGTTAATATGGAAGAATTCATTATCTAGTTTTAGATTTACAAGACCGACTGGAAACAAGAGTATCTGTTGGCTTCTCGTGGCTTTTTACGACTGATAAGTTAGTAATATCACTAAAATCACTTTCCAAAAGTCATGCTGGGTAGAATCACTTTCCAAAAGTCATGCTAGGGTAAAATCACTTTACCAAAGTCATGCTGGGTAGAATCTACTTACAAAGTCATGCTAGAGTAAATCACTTACAAAGTCATGCTAGGTAAATCTACTTTACCAAAGTCATGCTGGGTAAATCAC